TCTTCTTAGAAAATATATGAACAGTCGGCTCAAGAGTTTCACAGAATGTACTAATTAGTACATACGGTCTCTCTCTTTCTCTCTCTCTCTCTCTCTCTCTCCTACTTTAGGCAAATTCATGTCTAATATAAACATTTGATTTGTTTATTCAGTTTAGCGCACATTTAGTTTAGTTATACGTTATATATAGAGGACAGGAGAGGGACACAAACCTAGACTCAAGTCGTGACTCGTATTACGGCATAACTGGTAAAAGAAAGTTGGTTTCCAATTGAATCGATTGACTCTCATCTTTAGTTTCCGCGATTCGCACACATATTGTCTGAAGTGTTGGTCAGAAGCGCACAGACCTTCAGCACCGGTAATACAGACCACAAACTTAGAGTAAATGCCGTTTGAATGACTGGTTATATGGGGAGAGAAACACAAATATTATTGCATAAGATTTACATAGATTTAGTGTTAAAACGATTGAGAGAGAGAGAGAGAGAGAGAGATATGTTTATATTAGACATGAATTTGCCTAAAGTAGGAGAGAGAGAGAGAGAGAGAGAGAGAGAGAGGGTATATTGTTTTGTTAGTGAATTACTCGCAAATATCGTTGTATTGGCTTTCATTGGACGAAAACTGGTGTTTCTTGTGTTGCTCTAAATCGGCTGAGAATTGATTTAAACATTGATTTACTTCGAGGTAACATTGGCTCAGTATTACTGGTATGAGTGCTATGTTGTGGAGGAATAACAAGAATATTCATTAGAAAAATGCAAATAATTAATTAAAATTCTTTAACAAAATACTCACTGAAAATGAATGCAATGATAAATTGAACACATTTTGGTGAAAACATTTTTTTGCAACAATTATTTCCTTCACTTAATTTTTTCTCTACAGATATCTGTTTAGGAATTGAAAAAATAATTTGTTTTAACTTTTTTTTACTCACTAATCAATAAATAATATTTTTGTTATCAATTAACATGTATTAAACGCCAAGAATTTTGTAATATTTATTACATTTAATAGCATTTATCCAAAGAAGAAGAAGAGAAATGAAAATATTTATTATTTTAGATTAAAGTCAACGATAGTGAGGGCACAGGGAGTTGTTTTTGATACATGAATTCAGTTATTCAATGCTTGTTTAATATGTGTAGTAATATATGTTTTGTAGTCTTATATTATTATTTATGACATCCTGTGCCACAGATTATACGCCAGTTATACTAATTCGCGATTAAAATAAACAGGAATTGCA